TTCCCACCCACTGTCGCCACGGCACCAACGCCTGCCGAGTCGACTGAGGTCAAGCAGGTGTCGTTCGATGAAGATATCATCGGCCTACCCATCAAGGAAAAGTTTGGAAAACTCTTTCGACAATACTTTGACGCTCTCAGCCGCAAGGCTGTCAAAGACCACATCGTGAGCTTTCTTCTTTTTTACTTTTCTGTGGCTCTGCCTCTACCCACCCCGGCAGCTTATTTGTATGTGTTTATCAGAGAATTCAAGAGACGGAGAAACGTAACACGGAGGCGGCGATCAGATCGGGTCAAATCATTGATGACCGAGTTCAAACTTTGGAGAAACTGTCAAAGGATCAAGAGAAGCTTTGGTCAGGCATCCAGAGGTGAGTTCTACCCGATTGGGTGATGATGAGTTACGCTGACGAATCATGCCTTTTCCACTTGCAGTCTTGCGGAGACGCTCTCCTTTACCCCGCCCACCTTACCCACCGCCAGCGCCACGAGCCCTACCAATGCCATTACTGGTACTGGACCTTCACTCGCCTTCGGGGCCAGTGGAAATTCAGATCTAGGCGTGTGGGCGGATGAGGAAGAGAAGAAGTTCTACGAAGAACTCATTGATCTCCGCGACGAAGTACCGGTGATGCTCCTAGGACTTGATGCCTCGGCAAAGAAATGCGAGCAGCAAACCAAGGGCGAGGGCGAGAGCGAGAAGGACGGACAAGCGAAGCTGGAAGAGGAGATGGAAAAGTTGGCAGTGAAAGATCTCTCGTCGGATGACAAGTTGGAGGGCGAAATAGAGGACACTGAGCAGGATGAGTTCAGTGTTGGCGGTCCAGGCCCACCCGCCTGTCTTTTTCATCTTTTGATACTTACGAAGCTTCCTGTGTCTTTTATTCAGACCCAATTTCAATGCTCCGCCGACACCTGTGCCATCAACTCCCGCAGAAGCCCTAGCCTCTGGCCCAGCAGCTCGATTAACAGCGCTTTTCACAAGGCTGAACGAGGTGTACAGCGTCGATGCCATCGACCGCATCACTGTTGAATTTGCCTACCTGAATTCCAAAGCGGCCCGAAACCGATTGATTAAAGTGTGTCTTTTGAGCTTGCCGCGACATCCTTTGATTTTGCTCACCTTTATGTCTCTCTTTCTTTAGCACCTCCTGAGCGTTAACCAAAACCGGACGGATCTGATTCCATACTTCGCTCGGATGGCTGCCACCTTGTCCAAGTACATGCCCGATATCCCCGCAGGCCTCTTGTCCGGAGTAAGCCTCTGCTCTTCATCACCTTGATGTATACAATCATCAATCAACATATTTTCGTCGGTCTGTAGCTTGAAGATGAGTTTAGATACCTCCAACGCCGGAAAACATCAAACCAGGACCTTTACGGGATCCGAAGTAAAGTACTCGACTACCATCTCTTCTTTATCCACTCTTCACGAACCCCTCAATGCTCAATTTTGCTGCTTCGATATCCCAGAACATTCGATTTATCTCTGAGCTCACTAAGTTTAACCTCACGCCCTCTCACTCGATCCTGCACTGTGTGAAGGTGTGCGTGGACGAGCTGACAGGCTCGAACATTGAGAACCTTTGTAACTTGCTTGAAGGCTGTGGGAGGTGGGTGTTCAGAAACGAACACACGCACGACAAGATGGCGCAATTGGTCCGGTTCTTTCCTCCTTTCTTTTCTTTTTTTTTTTTGGTTGGCTTTTACATCTCGTTCCATCAAGCCTAATGAGACTTTGAATCTTGGATCGCAACATTTAGTTGGAGCAAATGAAGCGAAAGAAGGCTAGCCAGAATCTTGACTCAAGGCATCTGATGATGCTCGAGAATGCTTATTTTCAAGTCAGTTTCTTCGGAATGTGCTTAGGATTAACTGGCATTCAAATTCTTCTTCTCTTTGCTCATGAGTTATTTTTTTGTCACATCCAGTGTAATCCGCCCGATCGACCAGTCCTCGAGCCCAAGATCAGGTCCCCAATGGAGCTCTTTATTCGATACCAACTCTATGATTATTTGAACAAAAAGTCATTAGACAAGGTCATCAAAATCTTGAGGAAACTTCAATGGAATCTCCCCGAGGTAGTGCGGCTTAAAACTTGACTAGTAACTTCGAATAAGCTCAATTTCTGTCCGTTTGGATCTATCTTTCAGGTCGTCAAGCTGTTGAAGAATATCCTGACAAAGGTCTGGAAAATAAAGTATGGGAACGTGTACCTCTTCGCGATTATCGTACATGATCTTTCGAAGTACCATCCCACTTTCACTGTCTCGGTCATCGATCAGGTCTTGGAGAATATCAGATTCGGAATGGAGGTAGGTCGCAAAGCTTGCTTCCGTTGCGTTAGCAAAAAAAGCAAACAGCGGGACTGAGATCCATCATGGTTAAAAGTTGAACCTGTTCAAAGACAATCAGAAGCGGATAGCGTCGATCAAGTACCTCGGTGAACTGTATAACTACCGAGCCATTGACTCGAAAGTTGTCTTTGATACTCTCTGGTCCTTTGTTACCTTCGGTCACCGTCAGTCTCTGCATACCCACGCTCGCACGCGTCCTATATACTGATCGGTGTTTGGCCACTGTTTAGTTGACGGTCGACCCTCGCCTGAAATACCATGCCCGATCGATGGACCGGATGACTTCTTTAGGGTCAGACTTGTCTGTACCCTCTTACATACCTGCGGACACTGCTTCGATCGTGGAAGCCTTAAGAAACGCCTTAACAATTTCCTCACCTTCTTTATCGTACGTAGCTCTGTTTGAAGCGAATTCTTCACAATAATGAGTGTATGCGCCAACGAGCTGTTGTGTGTACCATGTAGATGTATCTGAGATGCAAGGAATCGCCGCCGATGGATATCGATTTCCTACTCCAAGACACTTTTGAGGTAAAGCGCACAGCAATGGTTTCTTGTTCGAGTTACTGTTTTGTTTGCTCACGTTTTTCTCTCTACACTTACACACACATAGGAATTGCGACCCAAGCTCAACATTTATCTCGGGCTTGATCAAGCCACGAAAGCAGTAGAGGAGATGTATGCGGCTACGAGCCAGGGCGGGATCAATGAGGAAGGTACCGGCTTCCCCTCTCAATCTTTTTTCTTTCCTCCCTTTTTCTTTGAGACGCAATGATTGATGATGCTTTGAATGACGGTGATGAAGATAAAGCAGATGAGGAGGAGATAGGGGACGAGAATGAGACTCGTGATCGGGAAGATTCGGATGAGAAAGGAGATGGTGAGGTAGACGATGAGGTGGGTAGTGCTGCTCACCTTTCTGATCCAGTAGGCTGTGTGTTTATTGATATTTGACATGTTTGTATTCTAGGCCGACTCCGACGGTGGGGACACTGTGATGAATGGTGATGAAGCCCTCGGCGACGAAGACCTACCTCGGAACACAAGTTCAGTAGCGATCACAGCCGAAGAGGAAGAAGAGTTCGCTCGCGAGCTAGCGAAAATGGTCGCGGAGACGGGTGGCGCTCAGAGCAGTACTGGTGGAGTAGAGGTCGGGCGGAAAAACGATCGGAACCCGACAAGCTCAAACTTGTTTTCGGATCAAGGCTTGCCGCTGCTGAAGAAGATCTTGAACCCCGCTGGAAGCTTAGACACGTCGGATGGGGCTAACGTCGGTGACCAGATGACATTTGCGTTGTTAATGAAGAAAGGCAACAAGCAACAGGTATGTCTGCTTGTCAGCACCGGCATTTCGGAACAAGCCTGATTTAATTTGTTGGTGCGAGTTTAGTTAAAGCCCATGCAGATTCCCTCGACTGCTCCGATTGCGGTCCATACCCGAAACCAACAAATGCACGATAGAGTGGAGCATCAACAGCTCAAAAAGATAGTGTTGGACTACGAGCAGAGAGAGGAGGCAGCCCAGCGGCAACGTGAGCGATGAACGAATTTTTTACTGTTTCTGGCCCTGGCCATGACCTACCAGTTGACCTCCTTTGTCAAACGAAAATCAATGACTTTTAGATATGCAAGCTGACTTGGCGCGCCGAGGCATCAACCTAAAATTTGTAAACGACTGAAGGGACCTAAGGATTGATTTTTTTTCACCCGCCACTCTTACCATTCCTTCTTCTCTCGTCAGCCGTATCATGCTCAGCAAAGGCTCTCTTTGTCAACCGTATATACTTGTGTTTGGAGTGCGACTGAGAAGAGCAGCAAGCCCTCGGGGGACGCAACTTCGAACTCATGGGTCGGATGACCATTCCATGGATATCATGGAGATTGGATGCCAAACTCCGAAACTTTGTCATCATGAAGGACTCGAGGACCGATCTGTCTGGGCCTGTCCCCTTCCGCTTCCGCGATGTCCAATCTCATTCATCACAAACCGAAACATTGATTGCACTTTACTGAGGACATTAGGCAAGTTCTGTCAGCTCTAGCGGAATGTACGGTCAAGTTGTACAGACTTGTTAGTTGTGTTTGGCAATGTGCGGAGGAAAGGGCCGGCCATCTTGCATTTCGAAAACTCTCTCGCCTTTCTTTCTTCGCACGACTCCAAGCCTTTCCATTAGACATCCTGTTTCCTGGTTGTAGTTGTGTATCATTTGATTCAAGTCTTGTTGGGCTTTATTGGACTCAAATTTATTTTCAGCAAACACCTTTTGTGGCACCAGTTTGGCTAGATCCAATGAGGTAATTGACATGTCTGACGGCCAAAGGATTTTATAGTAAGTTGTGGGAAATCTGAACAGAAACAAGTTTAAAGTAGAACTGGTCGGGTAGAATTGGGTTTCAAATGCTCCACTATCAATCTTTTTTACCGGTCATTAGTGGTGGTCTGCAGTTGACATGGGGGAATAGATTTGACCCATCCATGCTAGACGTCAAGCTAGGTCAGCTAAGGAAGGGTCAAGTGGCGGATCAACACAGGGGTTCACTGCAGCCACAACACAACCCCGCTGCTTCAGACATGTTGGAAAACCTCCCCAAGAAATTCACATTGTGATTTTGTGTAAATTGGAACGTCTGCCTCCGCATAACAGCCCGGTTAGCTCAGTCGGTAGAGCATTCGACTTTTACAAGTTTGCGTTAGGAATTCCTCTTGCACATCGAATTGTCGGGGGTTCGAGCCCCCCATTGGGCGTTTCCTTTTTTCTTCTTCCCATTTGGTTTACTTATATTCTTCTTAACCTTGTGAACTTTTTAAATTCAATCAAGATGTTACCAATAATTTTTTTTTTTCTTTGGAGATTTCCTGTAGATATATATTTTTTCAGTGTCACAGCTATTCATTACCTATTGTTGTAAGATTTTTTGGCCTTATCACCGTTTACTCTATTCTGTTTAAAAACCATAACACCAAACTTGAACCACCTTGAATTTAAAAGTGAGAAAGAAAAAAAAATTTAAAAAAAAAAAAATGCCAATCACAAGAATTTTAGAATTTATGTTAACTGAGAGGCATATTATATATACACATTGTTAAGATTATCAAGTCCGGTTATTCATTTCCAAATGTTTGTCCCAAAGAAAAAAGTGTGATTGATTTCAGGGGTAATCAGAAGATATGAGTTTTGAGTAAAGAAAGATATATATATATAAAATAAAATAAACAAGAGAGTCATAATTCATTCGATTATTTATGTATTTATTTATTTTTCATTTAATTTCCTTCAATACCACATCCTTAAACTTCTCTAAAGCATTTTTTGCAGCCCCAGATTTTAAACTTTCCCTAGCAAGTTTAACTCCATCTTTAAGATCAATAGCTTTTCCTCCAACGAATAATAAAGCAGCACAATTGATGAGAACAAAATCCAAGATCGAATTCATATTTTGATTTGTCAATTGATTTTCTAATAAATTTTTTAATATCATCACATTTTCAGATGGACCTCCTCCTATGACTTCTGTAAGCGGATGAGATTTGATACCAAAATCTTTGAATGGTTCTACCGTTATACAATCAGGTTCAGATTGATCAGAGCCTACTTTCCAAATCGTGGTTGAACCTTCAGGACTGATTTCATCTAAACCTTCAGCACCACAAACGACCCAAGATCCATGACAACCATATAATTCAAGTGCTCTAGCGACCGTAGGACCTAGTTTAGGATCAGAAACTCCCAAAATTAAACGATTTGGTTTAGCAGGGTTTAAGAAAGGACCTAAAAGGTTAAAGAGGGTTCGAGTTCCGATCGCTCGACGTAGTGGTGCTAAGGTTCCAAAGAATGGGTAAAAGGTTGGACTATAGAGGAAGCTAAAGTTTGTAGATGGGATGAGGTTTGATAGATGGGATGAGGTTAAGGAAGGAAGAGGGATCCCATGGGCCATGATGAGGTCAGCTGAACCTGTGGCGGAGGAAGAGGCTCGGTTTCCATGCTGTGGGGAGAGGGTGAGGCAGTGTGAGTAAAAGATAGCTAATTAGAAAAAAGAAAAAAAGAAAAAAGAAAGAAAGGATAGGGACAGACCTTGCAGACTTTCAATCCTGCGCCTGCGGCCACGATAGCAGCTGCTGTGGAAACATTAAAGGTATTGAAACCATCTCCACCAGTGCCAACGATATCGCAAATCGGTTCGTCAGGAGACTGAGGTGGTAGCGAAAGCGGTTGAGCCCAATGGGTGCGGATCTCGGAGGCGCAGAGGGCTAGCACTCTAGAGTCGGATTCGAGTCGAGAGACTGTGAGTGCGCTGAGTAGGGCACCGATCTGAGCACCCACGGCTGGGTCACTGGGATCGAGGGTAGGAAGTAATCTGAGTACTGCAGCAAGTTCGTCCAATGGGGGCGAGGAGTCGTTAGCAGACTGGTGATATGACTGAGCGTGTTGGATGAGGGTCTTGAGTAGTGACTTGAGACGTTCTGACATCGTTGGATGAATTCTGATAACCAGTCGATGGTGTCAAAACTCAAGTGTGAGAAAATTATTCAAACACACTATTAAATCAAATTCCAGTTTTAACACCCATCCATCCATAAATATCTTGAAATAGAAATCATTACACTTTGGAACACATCCCAGGGACCTTCCCACCCTGGAATGTCTGTGAAAGCTCTGTAGAAGAGCCTGAGGATGTTTTTGGAGCTCCAGAAGTTTCTCCAAGTCCCACTAACTTTACCCACCCTGTCCGTATCAAGGTGACTTGTCGACGAGAGCAGACGAAGGACTTTTTCAGTTCTCTGATTGTTCTCATTTTTCACCCAGAGCCAGCACATGAGCCTTCCCTTTATGCAAAGTAACTTCCTTTTCTTTTCACTCAATGCACCATGCGCTGAAAGGTGTGTACTGTATGCCTGTGTATCACTACACAGTTCACAATCGTACTGACGTTCATGAGCTGACATCATGATGAACATGGATCAGTGACTTGTATTGAATGGACATGAGTAACAAGGGTGGGCTTGAGCCCCTGGGCCACCACCCCCCAGACACTAAGGCACTGGATTTGAACTGGATTTGAGAGGGATTCTGAGGTGATTTCAAACATGACACCGTGTGCTCTTATCGATGAGTCACCTTCATATGGACAGGGTGACCTCTATATCATATTAGAGAGAAGGGCTTATTTATCCCTCCCCCCCTACTGTGTAGAGAAGGGCACCATTCACCTCCCTACTTTGGAGGAAGGCAAATGATCCCCCCCTCTAGAAGCTCGAGAGGACAAGACTCAATCTCCTCCCTGCTTTAGCGTAAGGGAATTGGTTCCTCCCTCTGGAAGCTTGATCCCCTCCCTACTGTTAGAGGGAGGGATTGAGAGAGCACCTATGGTTAGAGAGGGATGGTGTCAGGGGGGATGCTTCTGCATGGCAGCCCACCTGGCTATTTCAAGTAGGATCTGAAGTTGGATTGGGCTTCAGGCTCAAAGTGAACAACAGGCAAGTCTGTACTGGTACCACCAAGTACAGACTACAGCTAGTTGACCTCTAATGAGAGGATTTATTAAGACTCCAGTTGATTTACAAGGGTGTCCTCCCCTGTCAGAGTGCCTTGCCTTATAACTGGGCAAATCAGTTATCTGCAAGAGCCAAACTCTGGGAAATATAGGCTCAGCTGAAGATGACAGCTCTTGCTCCTTCCTGTATTGGTGTTCTTTTTCTCTAGCCCTTGGTGAGTCTTCACAGTCAAGGGATCCTGGAGGTGAAGGTCAGCCTAACCTTATCAAGTAGTGGATTGACCTTGATTTTACTTACACCTGTTGAACCTTGCACTATTGAGTGGATACTTGTTTATATAAGTTATCCTCAATGTTTGTGCTAGTGGTTCT